GCAACTTTGCCAAATACCAACTTTATAATCATAAAAAATTTTCAAGAATTTTTATCATTTTATATTGTAGAGTATAATGATTAAAAAAGACCAATTTACAAAACTGGCCTTTATTACAGTTTATAATATTTAAATATCTTTAACTGAAATGCTTTTTTTTTTATTAAAAAAATTATTCTTTATCATCTGTTTAATACTAAACTAATTTCATTATGAATCTCATTGTATCTGTTTGATACTTGCCATATTGATCATAATTGAATATTAGAATGTTGAAGAAACTGAACTTTGGTTTTGTCAAGATGAATAATTATTTTTGTTTTATCATAATTTCTATATCTGATAATTTTAACATATTTTATTGTATTTATTTTGTATGTTAATAAATTTATATTATAAGCATTTTCATTTGATAAACTTCTTTGGAATATGTGGAAGAAGATATTCTAAATATTTTTCAGAAAGAAGAAGAATATTTTAAAAAAATTTCATATGCTAAAAATTATGCAAATAAATACTAATTATCCAGAACACTTGTGTGTTTGTTTATAAGCATACAACTGCATGCATACAGATGTATTGGATATGGTAGTACTTATTATTAAATATTTATAATACTGTAGATGAGTAAATATACAATAGAGCGTCATTTATCCGAATCAATTGGGGACTGGGGTTGTTCGGATAACCGATCATGTATGAAAAAAATATATTAATTTATCCTGTGTTGAAATTTTTCTCCGTTGCGTGTTGCTTCACATTGAATTTTCATCGATGTTAATCCTAACGAAGACTATTGTATTGTTAAAAATTATTTTTTTATTTTGTACAAACAAAATAAATATATTGAAAAATATGAAAACAATAAAAAATTATACTTTAGAAGTTAATTTAGTATTAAAAACGTAAAATATTTGAGTAGCCGAAGACATAGCCAAAGATTACAGTGCCACAGCACTGGCGAAAATTTAAATTTGCCGACTGGAATTCCTTCGGATAACCGACCTTCGGATAAATGACGCTCTACTGTATTACAAATTCTGAAGCATTTGTCAATTTTCACAAGTCTGACTTGTGGAACAACTGGCATGTAAAACAAAGAATTGATTACAAAACTGCAGCAGTGAAACAGTTTATTAATTTAGAATATATATACAGCATCATGAGAAGTTCATTGGCAGAGGAGAATATGTTTGTTTGTTCTTTTGTTAGTTTACCTCATCAAATATTTCCTTGATATATCTCTTTACTGGCCAACTATGAAGATATAATATTTATATATTTTATGATGAATTAGAAAGTAATCTTATTTTTAAATAAATTGAAGATAGTGTTACTGAGATTTTCAAAAACTAAAATTTGGAAAACTGATAAATTTATTTTTTTTTGTAAGGATACTTAATTCTCTTGCATGTAAAATGAAAGGGCATTAAAAGCACTTTAAAATGAGCCAAAAAAAGCTCTCTTTGATAAATTGTTACTGATTTACAACAGATTTTGTATATCAGAATATTAGTAATTATTGTGTTTGTAAAATTATAAAAAAACCCAAAAATTTTAAACATTTGGATTTTCAATGTTTTTCATAGATACTATTGATATATTAAAAATCAAGTTAATCTGAAACATTAAGGTTCAAAATTATTATTCAGTTGATTGATTCGATATGGAATAACTCAAATGATAAAAAAAGGAAAAATTGTTGGAAAAGTTAATCTTTGCAACACACAACTTCTGATCTGTGTCTGTTTTCTTTATTGTAGTATTTAATCCTAAAACTTCTACACATCTGAATACATTTGAAGTTCAATAACTGCAGTTGATTTATATTAGAAAGCAGATATATTTTGATCAAAGTTAATATTTTTTAAAAGTTTAAAGCAAAATTCAATTACTGTAAATGCCAGCATATAAATTGACTTAAGATTTTCAGCTCAAAATTTTGGTATAGACACAGGACTACCAGCTTCATGTTATCAAACTAAAAAATCTACCCCCCCTTGAAAGTCAATGAAAATAATTGAAAAAGTAAATAGTTAATTTAAATATACCTAAGATCATACAAGATACAATATAAAGATTTGAGGCCAAAGTTTTAAACGTGAAAACGTGTATGTTGGACGTTCAGTGCCACTTTCCAGTAAGCCTAGAAGTTTGACACTGGTGTTTGGATAGTCAGTGGAATTATGTTTGACATTCCAAACACCATTGTCAAACTTTTAGGCTTACAGGAAAGCAGTGCTGAACATCTGACTTACACGTTTTCGCGTTTAAAACTTCAGCCTCAACACAATGACAATACCAGATACATGCAACCAAGGCTATAATATGTCTAAATGAATACAGGCCTGATAGATATGGACATTGTATATATAATGGATTCCTTAAATGGTGCCATAAAAATAAATTTCATTAAAGATATAATCAATCAAATTACCAACCCTTTCATTAGTCACCTTTGTGAAGTGAACAACCTTCACACAGCTACATATGGTGTCCCTGTGTAAATATATATCTGGTACATAAGTTATCCCCTCCAACATTTGGTAAGCTAGAACTGAAATTTGGATATGGTATATGATAGTCTATCATTGTCATCAAGACACTATCCTTTCAAAATACAATGTATCAGGTAATCATAATTAAAGTATTCCTATTCAACAGTCTGGAGAAATATTTAACAGTCCAAATGCAACCAAATTTGGTATGGTGACATTTCAGGAAGTATCTTAATTTTGGCAGTCTTGAAAGACAATATCACACCATCTGTGAGAAGCATCACAGGTGATTAATTTTGGGCTGCCATTGAAGACACTGTTTGTTGTCTTCAGGTTATACACTTGAGAATAAGAACCACCTTGAGTATTATCCTCTGCATTGCTAAAGTCTCAGTATAGCATGAATGTCTTGTACAAATAAAATGTTTGCTTGCAGTGCCAAAGTAGTGAGTTCTGGTACAAAAATTTTTTTTTGCAGAAATTTCTGTATGTCTTTAAATGTTATTGTATCAGACTTTAGTTGCACTTGGACTGCCAAATATCTTCCTAGAGAGAGAGTTGAATAGGATATTTTACTTATACAGGGTGATCAGAATGATGTTTTAAAAATTTTGGGGATTGTAGAGGATGAAATTTTGAACGTTTTGATATAAGGAACCTACAGCCGGAAATTTGAACTAAAGTGTCTACAGCGGTAGGAAGTGCTTGACCGCTGTTCACTTTGGTAGCTACCTTTCTGTCCATTGGCGTCATGTTATTGCTGCAGATGGAAGACTGTAAATACACAACTACAGTGGTCTAACTGAGCCTGTGTACAGGACGTTGTGTACTTAGTGCTTGTCGTCCTTCAGGTCATCCCTTGCATCCACTAACGCTGTGCTGTAAACACACAACTAGTCAACATGAGTCCCTTCTGTATGCAACAACTGTAGGAACAGTTCATAAGCTTACAGAGCGCATCTTTACAGCATTTAATACCATCAGAGGGGAGCGTGGCATCTTACAGAGAGTCGGACAAAACATGGTTCGTCGTTGCACATTATGTAATGAAGTTGGTGGTCGTCACATTGAACATATACTCTAAAGTAGTACAGCCACTGATTTGATGTACAGTTTGATTGTACTCTACTATTTTGTCAATAAAACTTGTCATAAATACTGCATTCTGCTGTTTCATTCAGTTACCAACCACACAGAACGTGCAAAGTGCTATAGAAACTTTATACCTCATTTCCGGCTGTAGGTTCCTTATATCAAAATGTTCAAAATTTCATCCTCTACAATCCCCCAAATTTTTAAAACGTCATTCTGATACACCCTGTATATAGGACACCAAGCAAATGTTAAAAATCTTCAGTATGTTTTCTTGTATATTAATATATCAGGCCTACCAGGAAATATATTTGAGCCAAAATGACTATCTTCAAGAAATTATTAATAATTCACTCAGCATAATATCATGAAAGAACTACTACATTTAATATATGATAGTCAAAAACTATTGTGCATCTTTGCTCAAACTCTGCAGTTTGCTTCAGTGATGTATTGTTGGTATATTTATTAGAAACACATAGTGTTTATTAACACTAAACTTTTATTATGTTAATATCAATGTTAAATAAGGTCACTAAATATGAGTTCTAATTGGAAATATTTATAGTGGCTTGCTAGAGTTATGGTGATATACACAACAATTGTTAGAAACACTGTTCCATTCTGTATTAAAGGTTTGCATTGTATATCCCTTATATAAGTTTCCCCCTAGTTTTGAAGAGATTTTTTTCAGACTGAAATATAATGTATCAGCATTTACAGTATATGTATGTAAATTATAATTTAAAATATTTAGACCTTGTGTCATCAATATTTTATGAGATATGTATCACTACAGCCATCTAGTGAAAAAATAATGGATTTCTTTTTCCCCAACCTAACATGATGACTATATTTATAAACAGTGAAGGTACTGATAGGTTTACCTGTAACAAATGAGTTTTGGAGCTTTGCTTAAGTTTTACATAGGCTCCAACGANAAATATGTGTTACATTATATATATATAATATATATGTTTACATATATCCACCATAGTCAAATCTGTTTAATATAAACTTGATTAATTTGAATTATTAGATAATTTAAACTTGTTGTTATTCCACTAGATATTTGTATATAAATTAGTACAGTAAAACTTATATATATTGAATGAATGAATGTTAGAATATTCTATTCTCCATTTTTTGACAGCCAAATCCAGAGTTTTAATGCTTCACTGTACAATTTTTCATATATTACAATATTTTATATCATAAGTAATACAAATAGTCTTATGTTGAGTTAAAGAATTGTTTTTTCTCCATATAAATAGTTTCACTGGAGGAAGAGCTTTTATTATTGAAGAATTATGATTAGATTTATAACATAGTTTAATGACAGAATTTTGTAAATATTAGTAATGTATTAATAATATAAATTTTATATAATAATAATTTTTATATTTATAGACTTTAGATCAACTTCCTCTTACAAATCCAGAACATTTTGGTACACCAGNAGATTTGTATGAATAACACACAGCTTTCGTTATTACAGGAAATATTTCATCAATTATAACAAGTATTTCAAAATTAGAGTTTATCATGACAAATATTTAACGAAACATGTCATTACTGAATTTATTGCTAAATTACAGCAAAATGTACAGCGGTTTCGAAGATTGTGATTGCAAAACTCAAGTTATTTTGTGTTTTACGATGTTTCACATTCACATTTACATGTTTCGTATAATTTATCTTCTAAAGTCCTATCGTATTATGATAGGTTACCATAAATATATTTTAGTTAATTCGTATAGTGTGTAATAAATTAATTGGATCGATGTATATGTTTGATTAATTTCATATAAGTAAAATACCGAGAATATGTTGTGGTCTGTTTTAAGAATCCAATGGCCTATAGAATACATTTCAGAATTAATAAGTTGTAATTTATGTTAAAACAACTTCATCTGCTAAAAAATAGCGTTTCATAATTTTGAAATTTTTCTCATAATTATTCGTAATCATCTTACATTTATTTGCAAAAGTTCTCCATTAAATTACAAGTAGCATATTAAGTAAAATTCATTGAAAAGCGCGAACTACTTATCGAAAAGTTTTCAATATTTTTTACAATACTTAACTTTAATAGTTACAAGGACTATACTGAAGAACGAGCAATTAGTTATTATATTTTTCATTTAAAATATACAGGGGGTGCAAAAGTAGGTATAGAGTTGAGAATCTGAGAAGTACAAATGTTTGGTGTTCATTATTATTATTTTTATAATCTTTTATTAGTTTGTATTCCTTATTTGTGATTTAATTTGTACATAAAAATAAATGTCTTTTTCATAATAACAACTGTATGCCTGCTTTTGCACCCCCTGTATAATTATATAAAAGTTTGAAATAAATTTTAAATCATTGATGATGATTAGTGATATAATGGATTTAGTTGACATGATGCTGTATCTTTCATTACTAAAAAAAAAAAAAGCAAAGTATCACCATAATAACTAAGTGCTTTTGGGCTTTTTTTCACATAGTCCTTATCACTTGAAAATAATCTTTATGATTAGATTTAATACCATCAGAGGGGAGCGTGGCATCTTACA